AGGAGAGAGAGAGAGAGAGAGAGAGAGAGAGAAGCCAGTGAGGATCAGGGTGGAAGCAATGCAGCCCTGATAGGACGGTACTGAGTCCTGAGAGTGTGGGGACAAGCACCTGTGGCTGTGGCACCCCCCACCCCCGTCGGTGCGAGGGCATCTCCCACCTCCAGTGCCGCACATGGGCCTGGACTGCTAACAGAGGCAGCCAAGGTGACCCCAGCGTGACCAAGGGACTGAAAGCGACAGAATGCTGGGATGCTCAAAAGGTGCCAAGGCCCAGCCAGCATGGCTTAGTGGTTGAGCGTTGGCCCCATGAACCAGGAGGTCAGGGTTCGAGTCCCGGTCAGGGCACATGCCCGGGTTGCAGGCTCGATCCCCAGTGTGGGGTGTGCGGGGTGAGGCTGCACTTTGCAAAAACGCCAACACACAGAAGAGCTCAGAGATCAAGAACTGAGCTTAACGCAGCTGCAAACAGCCAGCTCCTAGTGTGCGGCCTGGGGAAGAGCCCACCGCGGGCCAGCGCACCTCACCCACCTCGCTGGGCCACCATGGCCCCAGGCACTTGCCAAACAAAGCCACCGTGCATTCAGGTGGAAAGAGGCGAGGCAAAGCCAGTGGGTTCCAAACCGAAAAGGAAGCGAATCGTAACCGATTCTATAAGTTCGGTTCAGGCTCAAAGCAGTCGGTCTCAAAGCTGCTGAGATGGGGGCAGGACCCCCGTCTCCGTTCGCGTGTTCATTTTCTACCTGGAAACATGAAGGCGCCTTCTACAACCTGGGGCCACGCCTTTGACCGCATTAGCGTGTCTGCCTCTGAGAGCTTGGGCTTCCCCATGCCTGACGTGAGATTCTCACCCACCACCAGCTACGCTGAGACCTGGCCACTGAGCGGCGTCAGATGAGGGGAGGGGAGCCCTAGCCGGTGTGGCTCACTGGATAGAGCGTTGGCCTGCAGACCAGAGTCCGAGTTCAATTCCAGTCAAGGGCACGTACCTCGGTTGCAGGCTCCTCCCCGGCCCGGGCCCTGGTCTGGGCTCCTGCAGGAGGCAACCAATCGATGTGTTTCTCTCACATCAATATTTCTCTCTGTCTTTCCCTCTCTCTTCCACTCTCCCTAAAAATCAATGGAAAAATATCCTCGGGCGAGGGTTTTAAAAGAATAAATTTAAAAAGAAAAAAAAGAATGAGGAGGGGGAGCTGCCTCAGCCATGCACAGCCGAGGGGTAACGGCCCCCCCGCTCCGCACCTCTCTAAGGGGCCTCGGGATGCTGGGCGCGGTGCAGCCTGGTCCCCAGGAGGGCCACGCCATCCCTCCGGTACACGAGAGCGCCTCCCGCACTCAATAGCATCTTGCAGCACGAGGTGGACAGGCGCTGTG